CTCCTATCCACTATCCCTTAACCCCGTGACGTTTCACTCAGAGGTCAATGAATAGGAGATAGGGTTAGAATTTAGGAGCTGATTTTTATACTATCGGCCCGCAACCAGAGGATCAGCACTTTGGAAACAGGGCTGAAACAGAGGGGATTATGGGTAATGCTGCAATGATCTGTCTGGTGTTTCAGCCAATCAGAGACAGGCTCTGGATATATCTGAGACCTGGGGTATACTGATGAAACCCAGTATGACAGGGGACCTTTAAGGAAGAAGCATGCATAACATAGACTCTTATTGATTTTTAAAAAGTATTAATTTTTGCAAGGTGGAGACGCTGAGGGCCGCCATCAAGTACATCCAGCAGCTGCAGGGCCTGGTGCAGCGCGGGGGGGTAGCACTTCCTGTGGGACCGGGCACAAACAACTGAAGAAGAACCGCCAACTCCAGCTGGACTGTGGACCTGGAGAGGAAGTGAAAGTAAACACTTCCTGCACTCTGACTGAGGAACAGTTTGACTCCGACACACAAAGTCTGATTTCTTTAAAGTGCTTTTAATGAAAGATTTTTAAAAATCCACATCTGAAAAACATGGAAACCATAGATATAGATCCCCCCCTTGGACTCCTTTGTTTACTTCTGTAACATAGTGACATCACTGTGGAACACTTGTGCTCCGACACATTGTATGTGAAAGGCTAAGGGGCGGGACATCTCTAAGCGTTTGACCAATCACAACAGGTCTGGCCAGCTAACCAATCAGAGCAGAGTGGGCTCTGGTTTCAGACAGAGGGTGAAAAGAGGTGCTGCAATTATTGATTTTTCTGAAAATCTTCAAATGTAGACTTTATTCTGAAAAACTCAGAATTATGACTTTCCTAAATTCTGACTTTTTTTGAAAAATCTAAATGTTTTTACTTTTTATCTGAAGTTCTCATTTTTTTTTCTCTAAATCGAGATTTTTTTTCTGAAATTCTCCACCTGCCAGCTAACCAATCAGAGCAGCTCTGGTTTCAGACAGAGGGTGAAAAGAGGCGCTGCTGCTCAGGCAGTATGAGAACAATAAAGAGCTTTCATTCGAGCTGGAAGAAGGTACATTGATATTACAGCTACCAGGCAAAGTCTGCTGAGTAAGCTGGAAGTATCAAAAGTGCTTATTCTGCAGTAATACAGCCTCCTAATGGGATATTGTTTTTCATATATCTGACATGAGATTAACATTAGGCATATTTTAACTATTTCTTTACTTTTCGTACCTGACAGTTATTGATCTTTATAGATGCATCTGTGGTAAAAAAGACATGGTTCTCCTTCTGTATGCATTGTAGTAAAAGAATAACGTAGAATGTTAGGAGTAAGTGTGTTGAGTAGCGTACTGCAGTTAATATAGTCGGTGTGTCGATGAAGGTATGTGCTGGTGCCCTGTGGCTCCAACAGATCTACAGGTGTTAGAATGATGCTGAGAGAGACACAGAGACAGTGATCGTTAAATATCGATTTCATATTTAATATTCATTGTGAGGAAAACGATGAAGCAGAACTTTTTAAACATTAGAAAAATAAAAAGCTTCTTTTTTTTTTACCTGGAGTCTGATGAAAATGTGGATTATTTATTCTGACAGCTTTACTTTATTCACTCTCTTTATCTTCAATTCTTCACAAGGCCCTGTAAATAATGATTCAAAGAGCTGTACCGAGTGTTTGAGTGTCTGTCAAGGGTTTGTAAATAAAGATTTGGTGATTCAATGTTTTATTTTATAATGAAATATATATATTTGTTATGAATATAAGTGAAAAACTAACAGATTTCAAACATGTTTTCAATGTTTTAAATAATAAAATCCATCATTTTTAAACAGGGACACATTTTGATCAGCTGCAGATTAATGATGACGTTCAGATATCGGAGTAGCAGTGGCCCTCAGGTGGATCCCTGGGGAACACCACGATATCACTTATAAATAGATAGAACTTAAGATCTACAACTACGACAGGTGCAAACGCAATACGACTGTTGTTGGAAACTAAAATGCTTCATGGTGTTATTTAAACAAAGTGATCACATGACTCCTCCTGATGTTACTGTAGTTACGCTAGCTAGCTAACGTAGCTTACCTAGTGATTTCAGATACACTGACGAACACTAACACGACTCACTCTGAGACAGAGACAGTTTCTTTCTTATCCCCCACAAAAAAAGACACCGCAATTTTTTTCTAGTCAACTTTTTTTGGTCAACTTCTTTTTTTGTCTGCAACTATTTGTTTAACCAGGGTCAGTTGACCAATAACCAGGGGTAACATCGCTGCATCATATCAGACTGAGTCATGTGACCGTTTAGTATTTGCAACTTTAAACGCCAAAGCTTTGAACTCGGTGCAGCTCTGCAGGTTTCAGGTCTTTACGAATAAATTGACATATTGATAATTGTATCCTGCATGAGGACGCTTTCTTTTCCTAGAGCTGCTGATTTTAATCATTGATATGAAAAACTAAATGAAGAATCGTTCCTCCTGTTCAGGATCTTATTCAGTTTTACAAACACCACTCACTCGTCATTTATCGTGTAAAAATGCCACAGAAAAAAATCTTTAAGGTGAAAATGTGCTGCTTTCATTTGTTTTCTGGAGGAACTCAGAGCGACTGTTTTTAAAATAAAAAATAGCATTATATATTCCCTTGAGACTCAAAGTGTGATATCCTTGATCTCCTATGAACACATACAAATGTAAAATCAGTGTTTAAAATAATTAAATATCAGATTCAAATTAATGTATTAAGGTCTGAATAAATCTGCTGTTTGACACACACACACACACACACACACACACACACACACACACACACACACACACACACACACACACACACACACTCTTTGGCATTAGAGAGAAGAGCATAAGCAGCAGGATGAAGAACCCTAACCCCTCTGTTTGATTTAATCATCCTCAGAGGGTCTGGCCTCAGAGGGTCTGGCCTCAGAGGATCCACATTTGAAACTGATTTAAAGTGTAAACCAGAATATTTAAAGAAAGGAAACATCCAGATTTTCTAAAATGTATGAATGATTAAATGTGAAATTATTTGAAAGATAAATGGAGATAATAATCTTCTCTAGAGTTGATTTGAGACGCAGCGGCAGCGGCACTGAAGCAGAAGAGCAGGAAGTCTCCGAGTGTCTCGCTCTCAAGAGCAGCTTCTCGTGTCCTCACAACAAACACCAGCTGGCCCTCAGGAGTCCAGGAGAGAGGACAGAGTGGACAGAGGGTCTCCTGGCCCTCAGGAGTCCAGGAGAGAGTGGACAGAGGGTCTCCTGGCCCTCAGGAGTCCAGGAGAGAGGACAGAGTGGACAGAGGGTCTCCTGGCCCTCAGGAGTCCAGGACAGAGAGGACAGAGTCTGATGGACCTCAAGATCCCGTCTTTCAGGCGTCTCAATGTCCTTCAGGAAGTCCCGATGACCTTTAGGAGGTTCTGCTGGCCTGGAAAACGACCCGGTGAGCCTCAGAACGTCTCAATGCCCTATTAATACCTCGATGACCATCAGAGCGTCTCAATGTCCCTCAGGAAGTCCCAATGACCTTTAGGACGTCCGGATGAACTTGAGAACGTCCCGATGAACATAACCAGGACAGAGAGGACAGAGTCTGGTGGACCTCAATATCCTAGAAATGTCTCGTTGACCATCAGGATGTCCAAATGACCTTCAGGAAGTCTCAATGTCCTTCAAACGTCCCTATGACCTTCAGAGCGTCACGTATGACCTTCAGGACGTCCTGCTGTCCCTCAGTTGCCCTCAGTTGTCCCCAGGCGTAGGGACACCAGCTGACGGTGTGTTGGCTGCAGACAGTAGTCGATGCTGAGCTGAACGTCCTGCACACGGCGCAGGAAGCGAGATCGATCCCGGGCGAACTGCTCCCAGGGACCCCGTCTGTCCTCCGTCTCCTCCCCCCCGCTCGCAAAGAACTCCTCCACTTCCTCACAGAAACGCACCTGACGAGAGAGAGGAGGAGGAAACAGGTTCAATCCAATCCAACTTTATTTATACAGCACATTTGAAAACAACAGAGTTGATCAAAGACATGTACATCAAGAAATATATAAGTGTATATATACTTATATATAAGTATATATAAGTATATATACAAGTATATATAAGTATATATAAGTCCAGCATAAACACATTTAGACAAAACCAACCAGCGTCTAGTTTATATCTGGAATACAGAGGTGGGCAGTTACCAAGTATCAGTATCTCAAAATTGTACTTCAGCATTTGCATTGAATGCTACTTTATACTTCTGTTCTAACATGTATTTAACAGCTTTAAACAAATGCATCTCTAAGAATTAAACGTTTGGATTCTTTAAGTCATTAAAGAGTCAAATGATTTAAATATTTTACTAAACGTCCATCAGATCTTTGTTTGTCCACAGTGCTGAAATGTGACTATCATATCTACAAATGTCACATATATAAATATAATTACACATCAGGCCCCTTTTCTGCACAGTGAGTACTGTTTATACTTTAAGTACAGGAAGCTGGTGCTTTGACTCAAGGGAAGCGTCTGAGTAGGGAGGGGTACCGAGCCCCGGTATTAAACGGCCCCAGGCTGAATTATTAAAGACCGTGGTACCGTTAAGCTCCGACGTTATCGGTCTTTTTATCGGTACTGCAGACATGTCAAAAATATATGTCAGGTGTATTATTGTTACACAAACATTATATCGCAGTTTTAGTTTCGCCAACTCCGTTTCTAATATGCAAAAAGACAAAAAAAATGCGTCTATGATTATTTTTTAGTATTTTCTATCTCTCTCCCCGCCTGCTTGGGAGGGGGCGGGGCAGGTTACACACACGCAGCTGCTACATGCAGCAACACACTGCGGAGATCACGGAGAGAACGCGCTCCGAGGTGTGGCTACACTTTACCCGTCTCGATGTGGACAATGCTCCACGCTGTTTACAGTTCTGTCCTCAGATTATTTAATACGGTTTGTTAAAACACTGTTGTTTCTTTTTATGTGAAATATTATTTATTTAATTTAAATAAAAAGCAATGTTAATTTTGTTCAAAATGTGTTTAGTTAATTTAATAATATATGTATTTTTGAATCAAGTACTCATCTTTATTGTCTTCATTGTTAGTTTCCACATGCCTAAAACAACCTCAGGCTAAATCTAAAGGTTGATGGCTAAATAAGAGCGTTTGAGAAATTGTACAAGGCATACAGTAATAGTCCGAATACTCGATTAATCGTTTCATTAATCGATAGATTAATCGATTATCAAATTAGTC